GGAAAGGAGGAAACAGTGATGCTTATAGAGGAGTGCAGTGCCATTCTACAGAAGAAACTACCTCTAAAACTCAAAGATCCAGGGAGTTTCACTATCCCTTGTGTTATAAGAAATATTGCATTTGATAGAGTTTTGTGTGATCTAGGTGCGAATATTAATCTAATGCCTTTTTCTATTTTTAGGAGATTAGGGATTGGTGAAGTGAAGCCTACAACTGTATCTTTCTAGCTTGCAAATCAATCCATCAAGCATCCAAGGGGCATTGTTGAAGATGTACTAGTTAAGGTTGACAATGTAACATCTACTGAAAACTAGTACAATGCATGCATAATAACAATGAAAAATTGGGCCCAAAGTTTTCTTTTCATTAATAATACATATGTCTTTTATACACAAATAGTACTGTTTACAAAAATGCATTTTAAAAGACAAAACAGGGGAAACAGTGTAGCTATTCCTCTTCGCTTGCCGACGCCCCTCCGACNTGTAATGCCAACCGTGTCATCCAGCTTTGATCTAAAGCCTGTCAATTTCTTCCAAAGCAATCCAATTCTTCGAGCAGCGCCCACCTTCGAAGATGACCTACCTGTATGCCAGCCCAGTGCTTCATAGTAATCAGATTTTTATCACTTACAATATGTTTGACGCATTATATCGTATATTTAATTTGCACATGTTTGATATGTCATATTCTGTTGTACTACATTGCATTGTATATCGTTGTCTTGTATTGGACAATATCATATAAGATAATATGTAGTTTATGAAGGCGTTTAGCGGATGACTATATTGTGTCGGATGATTACTTTAAATCCCCATGTTTCTCATATATATATATCCTTAGAAATTTTTGTTAGTTTTAATAGAATGAATGGCAAAGAGGTAAATGAACCTCACTTTTATAATTATTAATTCATAATGAAAATATAACCCAAACACCCTCAAATCTAAAACATATCTTGTAGCCTGCTAGGATCCAACATCCACTAAGTATAAGATTGGTGGGTGGTTTATTAACCCATAGGCTCACTCCCTCCACAAGTTGGTTTTTAATAATTTGTATCAATATTATTATTTCCTTTAATATATATATATATATCACTAATTTTAATTTTTTTATGAAATTAAACATAGGCAACAACCTCAACAAATTTAATTGCACTATGAGATTACCAAAATACCATTTCATCTTAAAAGACGAAAATATCCCTTTCACTTATTTTTATTCTTGATCTATATTTTATGTGTGTGACCCGAAGGCTCATCATCATATCAGTAGTGAATAGTATTGCAATTGACAATCAATCAATCGTCCCATTAGACATAGACCAAGATTTGCCTCTAGTCAGGTATCATACACCCAATAGATTTGGATTCAGGGAAACTGCTATCTATCAACAATATGGTTACCTTGCAATCAAAATCCTTTCATCATCTATTATCGTATCAGGGCTGAGGTATAGAAATAATGTTAACCTTAATTAATATCCTTGATCTCTTTATATTCGGTTTTCCAGACCAACGACCTTAATAAATTGGATCAAGCGACAACTCAATCCTACAGTGGCCATAACTTTAGTTTCGTTGTCCTTCACCGAATTGCGTAGTGAGATAGTTTCTCTTATACTGGGAGTGGTGAGTCTTTTATTGATCCACCATAGCCTCGATACACTTTTCAATGTAGTCAACCACTATTGTTCTGATAGTCCTAAATAAGACTACGTTAGGCTAGTGTCAAACTACACCAATTGGTGCACAAGACACTTCGGTGATTTCAAGTCTATGGATCACAAGCACCACCAATTGTAAGAGGACTCGCTCCACAAACACTAAGGTTACCATCTATGTGGAATCCTCCAGTGGGTCGGTCTGGTGAACTTGCCTACAACACGTACCCATGTGTTGCACGAAGTCGTCACCAAACAACCTTGAAACGTGAGACATGTCACTATTTCTCGATAGAGTCATTCAACACTATGATAGTCTTACTGTATTATCTGTGCTCTACGTTAGGATAATACTGAGCTATGGACGTTTCTAGAATGACCACCATATGTGCTCATAAGGTTCTCATTATGGAGATTTCAAACATTCGATACCCTTTTATGTTCTACCATTCTAAGGACATATATCACTTTCTTGTACGAATATAATTAGGTCACATGATATAGATAAATGACTTTTATTGATAATAAAACATGATTTACAAAGAGTCAATTTATAATATATGATTGGCTCTAGGGCACCTACTCTAACAGCATGTAACAAATGGTGTGTTTAGCCCACCTTAGGATATGTGAAGTCATCTAGCTATGAAAGTGGGCCGCAATAGACATAGTATCTGAAAGCATTGTGGAACGTTAGGATTCGACATCCACTAAGTATGAAATTACTGGGTGGTTTATTAACCATTTGACTCCCTACCCTTAAAAGTCAATTTGAAGGGTGTATTCTACCTAATGGGTCCATAACGCAACCATCCTAGCTCAATGTCAATCGCATGTAACATGTTGTGTCTCTAGCCCACCCTTATTGCCAATCATTCCACACTATCCCACATAGATTCTTAGTTGCATCATATCCACAATGGTCATGGTTGGTAGAGGTTATGTACCAACCTAGTCCATTGAAAAGATGTTGTGTATTTTATGAGTGCCCCTTTTGATTCAAACCTAGGATTTTGTCCTTTGAAATGAATCTTAAGTACTAATTGAACTACATAGTGTCAGTAACATATGGTATCCCATCCGAAATTGTGTGGATAATCCATCATTTAGGATTTTTAGCAAGGTTGTATCATGGCCCCAGGACGGCCAACGAGAACGCTAGGTTGAAAAGGTTAATGATTCTTTTTTTTTTTTTTTTTCCTTCCATTTTTTTTTTTTTTAATCCTTTTCCTAAAAATTATTTAAGAAGAAAAAGTTAGGGTGAGGTTGATTTGGAATTTATTAATTTGGTTTGTTACTAATGATCATTGTTGTGTGGGTATGGATTATGGAAGAACAATATGATGGGAGGAAGCGCTGATGGGGTGAATTTGTTGGTTTTTGTTGACCTCTTATGTGTTTTAATATGCCAAAACTATCCAAAAAGTTGATTCATTACTAACCAAAACATGGTAAGGTATGACACAAGTTATAACCAAACCAAAATAGATTTAGTGGTATGATCATGCGTAAGTAATTTTTCAAGTGGTATGACCGTGCACGATCAAGGCACAACTGTTCAGTAAAAGAAAACTACCAAGATGAATGTGTCGCATTGCACGACATTGTTCCTCATGGTCGTTCATCATCTTGCCAAAATGTGTGGCACATACACAACCATCCTGCACGACTATTCCATTCAAGTCAAAAGTCAAGATATTCAAATTTAGAATCCTTCACACTCTTGACTATTTTCCAAAGTCAATCAAGTCAAAATTCATGTATCAAAAGAGGCATGACCTTTCTAAATGGTGGAACAACCATTCCTTTCTGAAGAGTTTTGTACAACAATGTTCCAAAAAGTCATGCATGCCTCTGGAAAATCTTGTGGATTTGAAAGAACAATTTTGGTGAGACCGTTCTGTGTGGTGGAATGAACATGCGATGTCTTTGCACCATCATATGGCATGGTGGAACATTCATTCTAGAAACCCTAGATTTGAGAAAATTTATTCGTTGTGTCAAGAATGACTGTTTGCGATTATGAATGACCGTTCTTTTGGGTTCTTCAGGCTTTATCAGAGCTACATTAAATGAAGCAATGGCTAACTCTTCAAGAGATATAAAAACTCAAGATTTTTATGCTAAAGGGTGGAAAAGAGTCTTATCAAATTAGAGAACATTCTCACAAGCGATCATTCCACCATGTGGAACAATCAATTCATTGGCCCCTTAAAATCCATAAAAAATTCAATGTGGTGAACAACTTTCTAGAATGATGTTGTTCTCCCAAGAACGATCTTTGAGTGGGAACGATCATGTGACATGATCATTCCGCTTGAAAAACTTGTTCTTCAACTTGATCTTTAAAGCTTGATCTTTAAGACTTGTCAAAGGCATGAAAACATTTGAATTTGAAACGTCTTGACTCTTGACTTGAGTGGAACGGTCATACATCTTGGTCATGCCATTGCAAGTGACTTGGCACAATCTTGGCAGAAGAATGCACGATCATCTAGAATGCAGTCGTGCTATGTAGAATGTTCAACTGGGCAACTCTATGAAACTAGGAACAGTCGTTCCTTTGTCCTGTACGGTCATACCAACTTGAAAAACTGCATTTTTGTTTTGGTTATGATTCTTGTCATACTTTTGCATGTTTGTTAGACAATAATCAACTTTTTGATTAGTTTTGGCATATCAAAACACGAGGGCTCAAAAATCTCCCTTTTTGTTATTGATGACAAAACTAAACAAAAATTGATTTTCGCATGAAAGTGCAAATTCATAATCAATATGCAAAAACAAAAACAAAAAATTTTCCCCTTCAAAAATGCATATCTCACATACATAGAGTAAGGAAACACGCTCCCCCTTACTCCAAGCATACTTCTACAACAAACACAACCATTTTTCTTCTCATTATCAAAGTATAAAACTCACTTTGAAGAACAAAAAAGAATTACACCAATCAATCAACAAACAACAAATACACTCAATTTCATCCATCTTTCTCCCTTTTTTTGTCATTAATAAAAAAGATATCAATCATCAACACATCAACACAATGACAGGTAAGCGTGATGAAAAGAAATTCATTATAGATATAACATTAAATGACAATCACAAAATAAAACAAACAATAACAACAAAAGTAAAGAACAATAACATAAGTTCAAGTGTCCAAATGGACACGAATGTTTCCCATGTGCACAAAAATGGAGATCAAAATATAAAAACGCAAAAAAGACTCGAAGGAAGTTTGGACTATGGTTAAGGAGATTGAGGAAAGGATGGCATAGAGTCTTGGAGGATTTGGAGGTTGTTTGAGACTTTAGATGTTTGATTGCTCAGGAGGAGGAATTTTTCTGTTATTGCCTTGTCCAATCTATCAAACTTTGCTTCAAAATGCAATGCTACTCTCTCAAATATCTCATCAGCCAGTCGTGGAGGCATCGAACTAGACCCAGGCTCCATTCTTATCCTCTTTTCAGTGTCCAAAGGGTCTTCACTTGATGATTCAGTTGTATCCTCATCTCTTAATTGACCTTAAGAAGTGATTAACTCCCACTTCTTGTTTTTCTTTCCTCGAATCATTCCCATCCTCTGTAGAGCATTCTCAATAAACAGGTTCAAAATATCAAACTTAACCTTCTATTCACCATTAATTGCAGGTTTAGTTTATCACAAAAGTAAGTGATCAGCATTCCCATTGGGATTTCACCTTAATCCTTCTGAATCTCTTCAAGTTTTCTTATCAAGAGAATTGTTGTATTTACTTCTTTTTCTTTTATTGCTGCTTCCATTAATAGCACATTTTTTGTCGTAATTTGACCATTTGATCTCTTTCGCGCATTGAAGGAATATGTGATGTATCTATGCAACAGCCTCATCTCCGGATCACTCAATTTAATGGATTTTGACTTGTGAGGGTTATAAGGCTCTCTTCCCCCAACAACGTTCCATGCAATCTTAGAACTCCATCCTCTATGAGGATCAACTAACCCGTCAGAGTCACATTCCAGCCATTGTACTAATGTTCTTGAAGTTATAGAATGCTCCACATTTTTTAGCCTAAAGAGCATTGTGTACAGAGGATATCCTTTCGTTTTTACTCCAATTATCTCTAAATTGCTATAAAACTCATTTATCAAATGTCTATACCCCGACTATCTAAGACTTATTAGTTTTCTCCAGTTCAAGTTATCAACCCATTCTAACAGTCTATCTTGCAATCATAATTCACAAATAATAGCCCAATCAAAGGTTCTACGAAGGTGCATACTTCTTTCCTTTATTCGTTTGTATTCATTTTTCTAGATAGGATTTCTGAACTGGACTCTATATAGACCTTGCAAGTCTCCATGTCTCGGGATACAACTGCCTCTTGCCATATTATTTGTTCTAGGCTTGATGTTTGGGTAAAAAAAGGTGTTTGGGATGAGTTCGCATTGATTTTGAGAAGTTTTGAGTGAAAACGTTTTAGAGAGGAAATGATTTTGAGCATGACATTCTTGAGAAAATGAACGGTTATTATTGATAGAAATCATGAGGCACAGTCGTGCAGTTATCAAGCATGATCGTTCTCAAAACTCTAAATGATTAGGGTTAGGTTAACTCAACTCTAAACAGTCATACGCGAAAGAGGTATGACTGTGCTTAGGTTTTTAAACCTGAATAGATGGCGGTTATGAGGCACGAACGTTCTAAGGGTTTGAACACTTATACAACATGGAATGACCATGGAGCACGATCGTTCCAACTAGATCAAATTTAAAGATTTTGACTCTTCTGCACACTGATAAAAAAATATCATCAAACAAATATGTCCTAGATATTTCAATCACTTGGGGAATTTTAATTTATAAGAAAATGTATCAAATTGATGGACATCACAAGATTGTATAAACTTGACTTTTCTTCAGCCAATTTAAGCACAATATCATACATGCATGATTTCACCTAAGTATGTCCCATATATGCCAAGTTGCAAACAATTCTTACACATGATCTGTATAAGTTCTCCATCTTCGTGAGAAGACTTTGCACTTGGTGGTTGTTAAGTCCATCTAATGTCCTTATTGGATTCCTTTGGGCCTGTATAGATTTCTCTATACGGATTATTGTAAAAGCAAATTTTGAGTACCTAGTTCATAATCCCAAACTTTTTACCCTTGTGATCCCATGGATCCAATCACTAATGGGGTTATGTAAGAATTATTGCACTTTGATTTATGTAAAGACAATCAAACAATCAATGTTCAAAGCAAGTTATCACAATCAACTCAAACATATTCTCAATATGCACATAAAAACACATCATCTCAATCAATTTCACATATAAAACAATCACATAAGATGATGAGTTATACCTAGTTTGTTTCAATCATTCCTTACTCTCTTTGAATATTGTAGAATACATCCTTATCAAGAGACTTGGTGATTAGTATCAACAAATTCAAGCACAAATCACCCTTGCTAACATGATCATGTAGGAAATGATGTCTAATGTCTATATGTTTTTTCCTAGAATGATGTACAAGATTTTTGAACAAATTAATAGCACTTGTATTATCATAATGAATAGGAATGTTATGCATGTCGAGCAACTTGGTAATGTCATTATGAGAGACTTGATACAATCTTGGCAGAAGAGTGCACAATCATCTGGAATGAGGTCGTGCTGTGTGGAACATTCATCTGGGCAACTCTATGAAACAAGGAATGGTCGTTCCTTTGTCTTGCATGGTCATACCAACTGGAAAAATTGCATTTTTTTTATGACTCTTGCTTGTTATGCCTTTGCATGTTTGTCAGATAACATTCAACTTTTTGATTATTTTTGGCATATCAAAACACATGAGAGCTCAACAGAAGTGTTTTGGCTGATTCTTTCTTACATGAACTTCATGTCACACTTCCTGAACCCCTTTTTTTCTATTGTGATAATGTTGGCACTGCATATCTTTGTGCCTATCTAGTGTTCCATTCTCGCATGAAGCCTATTACAATTAATTTTAGGGGTGTAGAAATCCATTTAATTGAACCGGATTACCCATTTTTCAAATTGAACTGGTTTTTCGGTTCAAGGAATAATCCAAACCAAAATTAGACCAGATTATCTCTTGAATCAATTACTAACCAAACCAAATTATCAGTTCAGTTACTGGTTAACCGGATTATTATTTAATATTTTTTTGTTAAAAAAAAAATTTGAACCACAGACCCAACCCTCAAGCTGCCCCATCAACATTGCTCCCACCTTCCTCTTGTCTTCTTCCTCCCCCACTGTCACCCTCAACCTCACACCTGTGCCACTCTTACTTATAAAAAATCATATATTCTATCATTGGCTTTGAACATTTCAACAAAATCATATATTTTATTTTGTTAAGTTGGGCTCTCAAAATCCCAAATCAAATCGAATTACCCAATCCAAATAAACCCTAAAAATCAAAATCAAACCATAACCCAAAATCAAACAATCCCACAAACCAAAATAATCATCAATGGCGTCGCTATTGCTATCCAAGGCCACAAATCGCAACCTGGTGGTGGTGGCCTGGCGAAGCTTAGCAAAACTGCAAGCAAAAGGCCATGGATGGCTGCCAATGCCGCAAGTTGTAGCATTGTGTAACCAGCCTTGAATCACCAATGCCCCATGTCATGACTTTAAGATTTGGGTGAGATTTGAGAAGAGGCGTGTTTGACTTTGAAAAGATGAGTAGATGAGAAGAGGCGTGTTTGAGAAGATGAGTAGATTAGGTTTAGCCATTTAGAAGATAAGAGGCCAAAATGAAGGGTTTAATTTTCAAAATAGATTTATTGAAGATATTGTTTTTAAATTTTTTGGGCAAAACCAATAGTAGATTTATTGAAGATAGAGTTTTAAATATTTTAGGAAAATCGGTTTCGGTTAACCGGTTCAAATTAGACTTGAGTCGTTAACCGAACCAGTTTTCCGGTTTTCTTAATTTTGCAAACCAAGACCGAACTAGTTATTTAGAAAAACCAATTTTTTAGACCGATTTCTGTCCGGTTTCCCGGTTCGGTTTGGTTTTTGGACTTTTTTTTTTAAGCCCTAATTAATTTCAATTTGTCCTTGACAAATTGTCCAATGGTGAGCCTTAAGCATCTCATGTTTCTAGCCAATATCAACTTGTTGATTCTTGCTCGTACTCTGCATTGTCTTCATCACCTTCAAGCCAACATTTGTGTCTTTGATGGGAGTAGCATCTTGCTGGGGCATGTTAGAGATATGTAATCTTGTTGAGAGTTATTCACACTTTCATCCTTAAGGTTACAAGTATATTGCACTTATTTCTAATACTATGGGATATGAACAGTTTAGTCCTGTCAAGTGAAATTATTTAATAAAAAGTCTAGTTACCCTTGTTATATATACTAATGGGCTATTCATATTTTACTCTTATAAAAAATTTACTTTTTCTTTTAGGTGTACAGTATATTTTCTATTGTTTTATATACATAGTATTCATTTTTAATAACAGTGTATAAGTTAACAGGGTATTATAGACTTTTTATTGAAAAATGCACTTGATTGGACTAAATTATTCATATCTTATAGTATTGGAAGTTACTGCGACATGCTCCAGATCTAAGGACAAAAGGGCAAATAACGCTCTTTTTGATACCCTTTTAAATTTCTTGTATAACTAAGATATATTAGTTTTTCCTACTTTAGAAAATTTTATTTTAACTGCTTTCTCTTGCAGGAGTACATATACTTGTATATAAACAGATCAACTAATGGAATACTGATAGGAAATATTATAAAAATTACCTAATTTTCTACTAACAATTATTAATAAATAATATTATGAAATTTAAATATTAACAATTAAAATAAAGAAAGTAAGAAATTAAGGCCTAAGCTTAGAGAGAGGCACGCGTATACTCATTGTCCTAAATCCAAAGAGTCTTTCATTTTGTGAGGGTATGAACGGTGCTATAAGGCCTCCAAGATACTGTTAGTGTATGTGCCCTAAAACCAATGATAGATGTTAGGTTTAGGGCAACATTTATATATATAAACTTTGTAATGATTTTTTCATTAATAAAATAACGATTATTCTACGCTACTTTGTGTCATCTATATTTAATTAAGTTGCATATATCCCTGAGCTTGTTCTAGAAAGAACTCTATTTTCAAAGAGTTTGAGAATATGAGTATCATGATTCTTTTGGCATGACTTGCTCTTAAGTATGTTCCTAATAAGATGTGATAGTAATCGGGGGCAATTTTATCACAAGATCAACATTACTATGTGCCGCCATTGATTAGCATGAGATGGTGATGGTTGGGTGATGAGATTCATATCATAAGGGCACGAGTGATGAGGTGATTCATTAGAGAATGAAGTATATTTAACTTGACTGCTAAACGATTGATCACATGGGTATAATATCTTTAGTCAATGATCATCGTTGTGTGCATTAGTGTCACTTTATCCTTAATCTTGAGATGCGATCATGTCTTGCTCATGGATGCTCATGATTCTTTAGTACATTATCACTAGATTATTT